CACCTCCCAAGTAGCTGGGACCACAGACACCCGCCACAACGCCTGGCTATTTTTTGGTTGCAGCCATCATTGTTGTTTGGCGGGCCCAGGCTGGATTTGAACCCGCCACCTTAGGTGTATGTGGCTGGTACCTTAGCCACTTGAGCCACACGTGCCGAGCCAAGAACAACTCTCAATAAATAATAAAGTGTAAAAAATTAGGAAGCACATCAAAGACATCAATGGCACCATTAATTAGCTTAATCTAATGAACATATATATAGGATATTATTCCTGACAACTTTAAAATATATTCATTCCAACCACACATTGAATACTTATTAATATTGGTTTATGTCAGGTTCTAAGACCAAGCTTAACAAATTTCAAGGGATTGGTATCATACAGACTATTTCTGCAACCAGAATGCAAATATGTTGGAAATCAACAATCTAGAAAAGTACTTATTTTTAATAATGGCAAAACACACTTTTGAACATATCAAGGGTCAAAGAGAAATCAAAATAGGCATGTTTAGAAGGAAAGAATAATAAAAGAATAATAAATACATTGCCCATCACAATTAATGAGATGGACTATAGCAGAACTGGAAGGAAATATACACCTTAAATATATATATTACACACTACATAGTATATATTCTATATAAAGAAAAGAAGAAAGGCTAAATTAAGAAGCTAAACTTCAGATGTATGAAGGAAATAAAGATCAAAACAGGAAGTTTTGAAATGGAGAACAATGTGTACAAGAGAGGGCTTGGGACATTACTATGCATTCTATAGAGATTAAGCTCAAAGTAAAAAAATAATACAATGGGCAAAATTTTCACAATACATTGGATTGAGATGAAATGGACAAATTTTAAGACTAGTTAAGTCATAAGAAATAATAAAGGAAATTTGAGTGGGAAAAAAAAGAGTAAAGTTGAGAGAGTATTTTTCTATATGTTTAAAATATAAATTTTAACACTTACTGCTTAAAAACGAGACTACATTAAAATATCACCCCACTTACAGGCAGAAAATCTTTGTTTTTAACTTCAAAACTTAGGTGACTGAGCAGAAAAACTGTGGGTTTTTTCTTTGAACCCACAGCAGAGACAGGAAGCCACACCTGGGTGCATTAGGGACCCCGAAAGTTTACAGTGCCAGCAGGATTAAGCATTTCAGGTGCAGGCCAGAAGGAAACAGCAGTCACTTGCCCCAAAGAGAAAAATGAGGCATCACTGCCAGCTCACATTTGCATGGTGCTTCATGTTATCTACAAATTTTTTTCTTTGATTTACTTCAGCTATTTAAGTGGACATATATTTCCTTACCTTTAAGACAAATAATAGTAATGTCTACCACTTACTGGACATACACCTGTCAGGGACTATCCTGGATGGCTCATATATATTCTTTTTAATCATTACAACATAACCAAGTGCTGTCATCCCAGTTAGATCAATAAAGTAACCTGCTCAGAGGTTTGCTCTTCATTGGGTAGGGTCAAAATGCAAAGCCAAGTCTAGCTGACCTTCATCCATCCTTTTAAACATGAAGGCTCCAGGGAAGAAGCTGTCCACAATGAATCCAAGGTAGGTTCATCTGAGACCAACCGACCAAGTTCTGTAGGAAGCACTTACCTTCTGGATAACTGATCGCAGAGCAAAATACTTCTCAGTAAGGTCCCCAGCCTCGCTCAAGGGGGCATCATAGTCATAGCTGGTGGGCTGTGCTGAATAGGGTATGTTGGCCCCTAGAAGACAAAACATTATCTACTAGTTACTACTGATGGCCTTGCCCTGGGACAAATTCTTCGGGATCCATGGGCTCAGCATTGTGGAGAGAGAAAAATAAAGGACATAGTAAAACAAATTGTTGAGAGACACAGTCCCCAGGATGCAAGAAGAGTAAGTTTCTTTCTATAGGTAGCAGTTGCCCAGCACCTTGGAGTTTTCAAAGCACTTTTCCCACCCATGCTCTGTATGGATGCTCACAGCTGTGATTCTAAGATATCACCCCCACTGGACAAGCAGGGAATCTGCTAATGTCTTATAGCCAGTAACACAGGGCTTATGACATGATCCACAACTCTGACTGTTAACTCCGCAATCCCTCATCCTTTCTATGTCCCCTAACTGTGCAGCTGAGAAAAGGTCAGTGGTGAAGACACAGGTAACTGGGCCCAGGACAGCAGGATGCTGAGGGGTGGTGAGACCAAACAAAGTGAAAGATGACAGCTCACTGAGATGCAAATGCAGCCTTCAGGGTTTTGTAACACCTATAAGAACTAGAGGGGATGTAGCATGCCTCTTGGAACCCACTTCAGAACAAAGGCGCTCACCCAATACCCCAGCTGCTAGGGCTGTTGGCTACAGACACCTCTTAGATATGTCTCTGCTGATCTGCCTCCCCCAAGTTACATGAACAGCCTATATCCAGCAACAGAGCAGGGTGCCCCAGGGGACTATCCCAGCTGCACGGCTCCTTCTGGGATAGGCTGAGGCCACTGATGAAACTAGGTGACAGCCCAACTTCTCTCTCTGCCTCCCACACACTGTGATAGGTGTTACAGACCCAATAAACATCCTGCCTGGTAAACTGGAGTCTGTTTCCCTGGGAACCTGACCTACAACAAAGACCAATGAATAGTGCCAATAGGGAGACTACAAAAGGATGAGAAAAGCTATTATCATCCAAGGGGCAAAGTCTGGACCAGAGGCTTCCAACCGTGCTGCACACGATGTTCACAGGCCATGAGGTTATCTGCAATATTGGGCAATTCTTTGAAAACCTATCTCTGCATAAGAGTCATGCTGAGAACTTATTAAAACAATCCTAAGCCCCACCCTGGAGACTCTAATTCAGCAGTGCTGAATGGGGTGGGGCCTGAGACTCTACTTTTAACGGGCCCCTAAGTGGTGCTGACACTGCCACCTGGGGACCAGTAAGGCTCTGTGTCTTTCTCTTCTCTTCAGAGAGCTTTGTGCAAGTGTGTGAGAATGAAGATATTTTAGAATCATGTTTTGCCCAACCTAATTTTGAAGTCAATGAGGCACAAATATGATAGTTTACCTCCTGAGACTAGTAATAAATTCCCTAGACACAGCGCACAAATGCTGGTGACCCTACTGGTGGGAGAGGCCACAGATAAGAGAGGGTGAAGATCGGGTTAGCCCCCAAAGACTTATTCACTGCTTCTCTGCACAGAATCTAAATTTCAAAAGACCTTGCCACTCAAACAACTGAATCGATGCAGTCATATTACTTTGCCCCACTTCTTATTACTCAGAGACAGCTGAGAGGCAACACCTGCCTTCAGGGATGCAGGGTTAAAACACATCCCTACCCCTGAGAGACATGAAAGAATAAAGCCACATCCCTTGCTGCAAGGCACACATCTTGTTTGTGGTCCCTCCTCTACCTCTAATGTGGTCGTGACTGTGCTGGCCCACGATTCTCGCCCCACACTGAACTGGGTGCACCTCAGGAGGGCGGCTGTGCCTTACTTGCCCCTGAGCCCCCAGCCAGAGCCACGCCTGAAGGAGGAGCTCAGTGAGCAGTGGCCAGGTTGAGATGAACAAGTGTGACTCTCAGAAACAAACTCCACAGGCTGAGGAAACCTGCGCTGCAAAGCTGGCAGTGGGATTCAAGGGTGGACTGGGAAACTAAGCCCCTGTTGTAGTTCTGCCGGCAGACCCTGGCTCTGGATGTTTGCTGATCACCACAGGGCAGCATCGCAGAGAACCAGTGTAGACTCAGTGGCCACGTGAGAAGGTGTGTGGTAGGGAGGCCGAAGAAACGATGAGAATTCCCACTCCTCAGCTCTCTGTGTGGGTGACAAGCACAGAAGAGCCTGGGCCCCTTAGGCAGCTGCCACACATATGAGGGACACATAGGCATGTAGGAAGGATGCACACCCTGCACGGGCATGTGTGTGTCCCTCAGGTAGACGGGGCAGGGAGCCCCCTCACAAGTGTTTTCCTGCCACTGCTCTCCACTGGGAAGTTGGCCTGAGGAACAGCTGCTGAGAGGGGAATAGAGACTGGCCCTCCCTCACTTCCCTAGAGACCGGGCAAAAAAGCAGGTTCAGGGTGGGCCGGCAGAACACAAGTGGGGCTGGTGTGGGGGTGGGGCTGGTGTGGGGGTGGCTCTGGGGTTTTAGGATGCAATGGGTTGGTCAATAGGCAGTGACTCTAGATCACTAAGGCCTGAGTGACAGTCTTGGCCCCACTCCTTGCCAGCTAACCAGGAAACGTGTAGACTTTTTTGCATGAAGATATTCTCTTTTTTGAGACAGAGCCTCAAGCTGTCGCCCTAGGTAGAGTGCCGTGGCATCGCAGCTCACAGGAACCTCCAATTCCTGGGCTCAAGTGGTTCTCCTGTCTCCACCTTCCAAGTAGCTGGGACTACAGGTGCCTGCCACAATGCCTGGCTATTTTTTGGTTGCAGCTGTCATTGCTGTTTGGTGGGTGGGGCTGGATTTGAACCTGCCAGCTCAGGTGTATGTGGCTGGCTCCTTAGCCGCTTGAGCCACAGGTGCCAAGCCCATGAAGATACATAAAGTGGTATTAATTATCCCTACCATAGATGAGACTGCTATGAGGACTAAATAAGAAAATAGAGGCAGAAAAGAGACCTCTATTGGTTATGGTAGAGACAGGGGAGAGGACAACTTCTATTTTCTGAGTGATA